CTCAGCGGCTGCTCAGCTCGGGCCGGGACTCGAACCGCTGTTGCTCAGAGCTCAAACTCTTGAGCGAGCTCTTAACCAACTGAGCCACTCAGCCAGCCCTGAACTTGCCCTTTTCAATAGAAGCAGTGGGTAAAGTTTTGTCTTCATTTTACATTTTAAAAAACATTGTTCTGCATGAAAAGGAGGAGGAAAAGCATGTGACCTTTTATTTTATTTTCCAGGTGGACAAATAGAGGCCAGTGAGAGATGAGTGACTTTCTGAAGGTCATATACCATTAGGACTCTTGACAGAAAATACTTAACCGTATCTCACATGGTTGATGTGAAAATCAATTGTGAATATACATGAATGTATTTTTTTAACCACAAAGTACCAGACAGTAAAAGATACTGCTTTTGTTCTCTCCCCCCTGACAAAAAAACCACACTGCTGTTACCAAAGTGGTCCAGGAACGAAGAGAGAACGCTTTCTGGGGGATGTGAGTCATCTGTGCGGTATGAAAGCCTCCTTCCCAGAGAGAGTGCACACACTTATGCAGAGAGCTCTGGTTTCCTGGAAGACTTTCCGTGTCTGGCAGAGGGTGGAGGTTGGAGAAGGAGAAAGATAGGAAGTGAAGTGGGAGGGAATGACTAGTCAACACTGAAAATAAACACATGCTCATGTGCCCACAGTTTATCCCAGGTAGATCTAAGAGCAAACGTGACAGGGGCCTGAAGGAAAGACAAACCAATACTGTTTCCTTTGAAACCACTCTCTTTGAGGTCATCTTTCTTCAGATTTTGATTGGAAGAGGAGGTTCATTTTTTCTTTTTTTCTGATTGTACTACTGCTGTTTCTGTCCCTCCCGCCACCCCCTAACATAGGCAGCCAGCTCCATTGAGTGTCATTTGGAAAGTTAACTAGAGTAAGACTCCTGTTGTCTTATAGCTTCCAGATTTTAGATGAAGTTGGATGGGTTGGTTCCATCCTCTGGACACCCAGCTGGCTGCTTGATGTGCTCTGCCACCAGCAACATTCCCTGGCAGTCTTGCCAATCTCCTGAAGGATAGAGTAGTAGTGTCTGCAAGGTATTGGCGGTGCTTTTGTCAGTGCACGTGTATGGGTCTTTCATAAAGACCATGGTGACCCTGCTACAATGAGTGCATCAAACTTGCTCTGACCAATAAGGAAAACTAAGAATTTAGTGGTTTTGCTCTCCTTAGCTCTCTCCCTATCTACCTCACCAAATTCTGTTGATTACACTGTCAAAGAATATTTCTATACTCATACTTGTTTAGTATATGAATTTTGACTATAATTCTATTACTTCTTTTCCCAATAGTAACTTCCTAAGTCTTTATGATGTTTCAAATTGTTGTGGGTTTTTTTTAGTGAAGAAGTAGAAGAGAATGCTGACTTAGGAGTCAGAAGACCAAGGATCTAATACCAGCTTTGCTACAAACTTGTTAGGTGAATTTGATTCATTTTTCTTAGCCTTATGGGCTCAATTTCCTCATCTGTAATTTGGGAATATCACTTGCCTCGCCAGCCTCACAGAGATACTGTGAGGCGCCAGTCAAACACTGCCTATAAACAACAACAGGCTATTAATACACAAGAAACTATTAGCATTATAAAATGTACTCTTTCAAAGCTATTCTGTATACATAGCAATTTTATTTTACCTGTCCTTGGCAAATACTGCATTTGCAAGTTCTCTACAACTCTCTATTTCATTGGATCTATTTATCTTCACATCAAAACTAATCTTCAGGGTAACTTGTGACTACACATCAGATAGTTATTTTATCCTGGCTTTCTCTGACATCACCAACTCCAGTCCCAGGGTTAGCACCAGGAGGCCTTCCAAATACATTTACCAATAAGCACATTTCAGAAATTGTTTTAAGAATTGCCACCAGCCTTGGCTATGCTAGGATCACGACTCCAGAACTCCAATATTAGTAATACCTGCTTATGTTTGTAAAGCAACTTACAAGTTACAGAACATTTTCAAATCCCCTATCTCATTAGATAATCCCAATTCTGTTGAATAGGTAAGAGAGCAAAGATTCCCATTTTACAGATGAGCAGGCTGAGGTCTGGAGAAATTAAATAACCTGCCAAAAGCCACAAAGCTGGAAATTGACAGAAACATGATGCAGACCCGTCCATATCTTGCTCCGAATCAGGGAGCTCTCAAATATGCCATTTGTCCCCTCCCTTTCCAACCAGAGAAAGCAATACTCCTTCCTCCTACCCTCCTGGCATCCTAGCTGTCCTCACCTTTTTTCTCCATCATAGTTGGCTTCTACCTATTAATGTTCCAAGAAGGAGTCAGGCAATTGGCAGCTACTTTTCTTGGCTTATGAGTATGCCCCTGGCTTGCCCTGTGTGTCTACCACTGCAATGGCTCAGGTCTAGCACCACTTAGAGCCAACATTTCCCAGAGAACAAAGAATGAAGGCTGCTAGACAAAGAAATGTCCAGCACTAATTGTGTGATGGTCATGGGCTGGGTGATTGAAGAGCCTCTGGGCTCCTCCCTCTCTGTCCTCAGGACCCAGCCCCAGATCAAGCCACGGAAGTGGCCAACACAGCAGCTAGTAAGCTGGCCATGAGATGGGCAGGGATTACAGGACCCGCCCCTCGGGTCAGCCAGCTCTGACCAATGACCTCACTGGGGAGCATTTGTACTACCTAGGGCTGAGTGTACTTGTTCATGCCTTAGCTGGCCTCATTCAGATAGAAGAGGAGAGCTGACAATGGACAGGCAGACTGACCAGTTTTCTCTGGATTTTGGTTAAAAGAAGGGAGAGTCTCCCAGCGACCCATGTGCTTTGAGATCTGAGGTATATACCTCGAGGACAGTGCAGGTATCTCAACATCAAAGAAGAAATCCAGATCTGGAGGGACAGCATCCTCTCATGATCTTTTTCAGTTCCCTGCTGCTATCAAGTCTGACTCCTTGTGCCTAGATTTTTGAGATCTCCTGGAATATGACCCTATCCTTTATGATCTCTGCTCTCCATATGTTCCTTGCCTCTGCTCCACGTACCTCCCCACGGGATCTCAAACCTCAAGCATTCCCACCTCTAGGCTTTTGCAAACACTGTTCTACCCTTTTGGAAAATCTTCCCTCTACTTTGCTTATCATTAAGTGTTAAAGACCAGTTACAAGTCCCCCTCCTCCACGAAGCCTCCTTTGACTACTCAGGCATGTGATTATCTCAACCTTCTCTAAATTTCATTTACAATTTATCCTTTACTTTATCCTGTTTCATAAGTGTTAGTTCTCTCCCCACCCACCCTACCCCATTTTAGATGGTAAGCTCTTGACAACAGGGCTCATGTCTTACTTTATTTTATAACCTTTTGCTGTCTGTGATTTCTGGGCATCTAGAATTTTAGTGAAACTTCACTCTCAGCAGTGCCTAGCTCTGAACAAATAGAAATGTAGCCAGCCATGGTGACAGTTTTCAAAAAGATTGCAACCTTTTTTGGAAAACAAAACATAAAGGTGTTTACCCAACATCAGACTGGGAGGCAGACTGCGGCTCAATAATAAAAGGTTACATGAGCTGGTGAAGGGGTTTGAGCCATATTTTCTAGACAACGGTGTTATTAGTGGTCTTTTGAGCCACAGAAGAGAGATATAAACAAGACAGAAGATTAATTTGCCTGCAGTCTGCTTTCTTCCCTCAGGCCACAGAGGCCTTCTCTGTGTTCTTAGAACCCTTCAGGTTTCTTCCAGTCTTGGGGCCTTGGCTTATAATTCCCTTTGTCTGGAATGCTTTTTCCCAATCTTCTCATGGCTGGCTTTGGGTTTTTTTTCTTTTCCATCATTCAGAGGTCGGTTCAATATCTTCTCCTCAACCTGCTCATTTTCCTGATTCCACACCTAGAGTAGCTCCCACCCTGTCACTCTCAATATTTTTGTTCAAAGCATTTCTCACATTCTGAAATTACCTTTCATGTTTGTCTGCCTGACTGTTAGCTCTCACCATTCCATGGATAAGCTCCATGGGGCAAAGAGGTTTTGTTCTTATTTACCATCATATCCCCAGTATTTGGAATAGTATCTGTCACATCGTAGTCACTCTACAAAAATGTACTGTTTGAATGAATGAATATTTAAGATGGATTATCAGGGAAGTTGGGTTGGCAGAGAGCACAGCCAAGAGACACCGAATGCAGGGAGACCAAAAGGAGACTATGATAGTCCCTCCCTGAGTTAACAGGTGGGAGAGAGGGGTGATTATTGGCAGAACCTAGAAATGGAATGAATGCTGGAGAAAGAAAGAGCGGCCAGGACAGAGCAGACTGGCTGGTTTAGATGGCTGGGAGAACCATGGAACCAATAACAGAAACAGAGAAGTCCAGGCAGGTCGACAATAAATAGTGCCGTTCTGCTATATATTGATAGCTGTGTTTCTTAGAAACCTTGTATTATTGTTTTTTAAATCACATTATAAAAATAATCACTTCAATGAAAACAAAGAGGTTAGCCAATCAGAAATATTCATTCATTTCTCTGTTTGGTTTTTGTTATTCCTTTAAGGGTTAATTCAAGAATTATAATTTACTGTTTATTTAGTGCTTCCTCTGTTAAGCATTGTTCTAAACAATTACATTATTATTTAATTATTAGTTAATTTAAAGCCACCCAATACATTAGATTTTCTTATTATTCCCATTTTATACATGAGAAAACTAAGGGAGAGAGAGGTCAAATAACTAACATAAGTCCCTATAGCTAATAGGTGATACAGCAGGAATTTAAACCCACGCAGAGTAACTGCTAACATTCCCACAAAAATCTCATTTAAAAAAGGGTGTTTTGGGTCAGTGGAGTGGCTCAGTTGGTTAAGAGCTTGCTCAAGAGTGCGAGCTCTGAGCAACAGGGTCGCCGGTTTGATTCCCACATGGACCAGTGAGCTGCGTCCAAGCTGAGCTGCCGCTGAGCTGCCAACAGTTGGCAGGATGGCTCAGTTGGTGAAAGTACATGCTCCTAACAACAAGATGGCCTGTTCAAGATGGTGGGCTACGCCCTCCGGCAACTAAACACTGAACTCGGCACCTTGAGCCGTGCTGCTGCCCAGGTGGCTCAGGCGATAGAGCTTGCGCTCTTAACAACAAGGCTGCTGGTTGGACTCCTGCATGGGATGGTGGCTACGCCCACCCGCAACTAATTGAACACAGCACCTTGAGCTGAGTGACGAAACTGGACTTGGAACTGAGCTTGCTGCGCCCTCCATAACTAAGATTGAAGGACAACAACTTGGCTGTTCCCCTTCCCCAATTCCCCAACACTGTTCCCATCCCCAAATCCTCAATAAAATTTTTCATTTAAAAAGGGGTGTTTTTATAACTGTAGCTATATTTGTTATATCAAGATAAAAATTAGTTGCTCAAAACTAACCAAATCAAACCTGACAATCACTGAACAAATCCTAAACAACACATGAGATCAAACAAGAATCCATGGGGTCGTAGACTGCAAAACTGAAATTAGATGGTAAAACAACAAAAAAATAAAAACAGTTTGAAGCAAAGATCACAAACACAATAATAGAACTTAATGCATTGGAGCAGCTAGTTAGTTGGCAACAGCCATTGGACATCCCAGTACAGGCAACAGTGCTTTCCTCTGGCTGGCTGGGTGCAAGTTTCCACTCACAACCCTACTCAAAACAACAGCAGTCTCTATGACACTGAACAGGTTTCCCAATTAATCTTCCTCGTGCCTGAATTGCATTCTTTAAACTCATGCTACAAGAGAAATGCCTGCAGTATTTCAGACAAGCAGAGTTTGGTATGAAAGTAGGAATGCAAGCTTGAAGGAGTTTAGTAGTTCAGGGTGAACTGATGGACACAGATCTTACCTATTACATGTTCAAAGTAACCCAATGCCCATTAACTTATCTTGGCTTCCCTCTTCCTGAAGCCACTCCCTATTACAGTGTTGCCCCTTTTGACAAGTGGGCTCCCTCATGGTAAAATGGATCTTACCCAGACAGCAGGGTCCCACCCCACAGTAGGCACCCATCTAACCCAGTTTTAGTGGCTGAGAGCACCTCTGTGAAAAGATGTCTTGCTAGAGTGAAGCTTTGGGAAATGACCCCATATGCTTTGTTCTGTTGGTATCCTGAGAGAGATGGTGACAGCTTGTACTTTTGGAAAAAGTCTGAGGTCCCTAAAGCTTTCTTGACATCTCTGAAGGGGACTTAGAGACCAGGGGACTTAGAGGACTTAGAGGACAGGCTTGACTGTCCCCCTTCTGCCCCTTCTGTAGGTCCACTCAGGGTTGATGCCTGGATGTACAAATACTGTGGGGCTCTGTGACTCACGTGGAAGACCTTGGCCAAGGAGAAGTCGCCCGCTGCAAGGATGACACCCTTAAGCACCTTCTACAGGTGACAGACCAAGAGCTGTTTAAGCTGCTAACTCCCTGACATTCTTCCCTAGAGAAAGGAGGCCAAGGCTTCACCCTTCAGTGGTTTTAAAGCCAGGTTCCTTCTCAAACCCCTTTCCTTGGGAGTGGTCTGTTTCCAAGTTGTCGTATCCCTGGTTATCCTGCCTATGGCTCCAGAAAACAGGTTCCATTTGCTGTTCTCCTCCCCGGAATACTGTCCTGGGGGTGTCCTGGCTGTGAGGAGCAGGATAGACTCCACCAGAGCCCTAAGGCCTTGGAAAAGGGAGAACAATTGTGCTTCGGGCTCTCTGGGTTAAGAGAGAGAGAGAGACGGACTGTTCAGATCCAAGTACATGGAGGTCTGATCTGACCCTCAAGGTAACTATCTCTACATCGTAACAAAGTGTTTCGTAATGAGAGTCCAACTTTGGGCAGAGGAGCTTGCAAAGATTGTCCTGAGGGAACAAAAACTACCTTGGCCCAATAGCACAAGAGATTATACTAAATGAAAAGACTAAACATAACATCAAAAAGATTTGCATAGGATGCACTAGAAACAGGTCTTCTATGCTGTTGCATGCAAATGTATAAAAAGGAACAAACTGATTAATGCAACAACTAAAAAGAATAAGTAAGCTTATGTTCCCTTTTGTTATTGTTATTGTTTCAACAAATCCTTTAATCTTATTTAAAAATCAACTGGTGCTAGGGTGTGTTATTATCAGAAGTCTTGATGAGATAGAAACCTCTCTGAAGATGTTCAAGTTGACGCAAGAAGTACCTGCCTAGAACTTAACCCTCCGTTGGGTGCAACTGATCTCACAGATTCATTGCACACAAAGATGCCGCTATGAAATACGTCTTTACTGTACTAAGTCACAAGCACAACTGGTGATAGGTTATGGTAGAGGGGGGAAAAATGGAAGCGATGAGTCACGCGACTTTAGTTAACTGTTAGATATTTGAAAATTTGTGTGCAATGACTCTGTGAGATCAGTTGCACCCAATGGAGGGTTAATCTTGTCCTTCCACGTCTCCTCTTACCTGTCTATCACTAGACCATGAACTAGAGCTAGATACAACATCTAGGAGCATGTCTACAACAAAGGGATCAAAAGCCTTCCTACTGCCCAACTTAAGGGGGCTTCTGCCTGCCAGCTGGAAATCTAGAACTCTTCTTACTGTTCAGTCAATGGGCCAACCTTTGAGCCCTTATTCATCCGCATCTATGTGGAATACAGATATCTCTCATCAACCACGGCTACAATTAACAATTTCAATGCTCCTTCCTTTGTCGCCCTCACTGCCCCCTCACTCACCTGTCGATGGCAATGGCCAGCAGGGCATTGGTGGAGACATAAAGAGAGACAGTGCGTAGGTAGTTGACAGAGGCACACAGGACATGGCCATGCTCCCAGGACAGCTGGCGTACCACATAGTAGTCCATTTCAAAGGGGCAGCAGACAATGGCCACCAGGAAATCAGAGATGGCCAGGTTGGCGATGAGCAGGTTGGTGAGGTTGCGCAGCTTTTTGTAGCGGGCCAGGGCAGCGATGAAAATAAAGTTGCCAATGCCACAGACCAGCATGATGCCCACGAGGGCCATGCCAATGACAATCTTGGCAGCAAAGAAAGTCCGGGAATTGGTCACATCCTCATTTTCATCCAAGGGCATATCATAGTCACCATAGCTGAAGTTGAAAGGGAAGGAAGCAGCTTGGGCCCCATGGGGGTTGAGCGCAGAAAGGAAGTTGGTGGAGATGTTGGTGGCATTCTCATCCATGTCCCCCGTGGTGATCTCCATCTGACCAGGTGATGCCTTGAGCAACAGCACTGGGAATTCCTCTGGGACGATCGATGTCTGGGAGGCTGCTGTCTTCTCTCTCTGCTGACACTCAGCTCTCCCTCAATAGTCAGAGTGTCCCTGCCAACAGCCTTGGGGTACAGTATCAGAGCTCCATCCTAAGCCTTTGAAAGACATATAAACAGTTGGCTACATATGTGAGTGAACCTGGCCAAATTTAAAACCATTCTGTACCCTAAGCAGACCCATTAGCCATCTGCTCAGAGTGAACATTGGGTGATGGAGTGGAAATAAAGGAACCAATGAGAGAAAACAAATGAATAACAACCACATACCCACTCATTCAGGAAAGGTTGGATTGCTATAGAGACAATCAGGCACTGATGCAGTTTATTTCCATTCCACTGAAGACTCTGAAATGTCGCACTTTTTCTCAGGGACCAAAGTTGAGAGTGTGGGGAGGCTGAAGATAACAAAAGTGACCTGCTCCAAACTCCATCCCTTATGCCGTCAGCCTGAACTTTGCCCTTGTGGAATTGTCCTGCTCTGTGGCTTAAAAGAAATGATTCTGAATACCATCAAAGATGGAGGGCTTTGAGACAACCCTGTCTGCATTCCATGAGCTGGTCTCCTTCCTTCTGGTAAAATGCTGCTAGAAAATAACGGAGCCCACCTAGCAGCCCCCTTCCTCTCTCCTCATGAGCTTCTGGTTCCCACACCCAAGCCTGTCTTGACTTTAAGAGCCAGGCAGAGCGTTAACGAGGCCTGGCAGAGGCTGCAGGGTTGAAGTTGCAGCCTAATCACTGAATGGCTTAGCAAGGGGGCTCTGGAGCAAACTCTTTCCTTGGCTGGTTGTGTGTCCTGAGGTAAATAGCTTAAACACTCAGAGTTGCAACATTCTCCAGGCAGGAGATCAATAATGTCTATAAAGCATGGAGCTCTCTAGAGAGGGAGGACGTTACACCCTAGAACTGCAAGGAATGACTATTGAGTGTTCAGGTCTCCTTAGTCAGCTGCAAAGGAGAGGAAAATCCCGAACCAGATGACTCCACTGAACCACATAATGGGGCGGGGGTGGGGGGTGAGGGTCAGAGAGAGGAGGTGGTTGTCCACTACACTGCTGAGGACCTATAAACAACAGGAAGCCCCCTGTCCCCTGGCCTCTTCCCGCAGTCCCAGACCCTCCCAGGGCCTGAAAACATCAGAGTAAGTTGCTGGGATGCAGGAGGAGGGATGGGATCTGGAGAGCACTGGATATGTCAAGAAAACCAGAGACAGAAGATAAGTATAAAAAACCCGAGGTTCCTGGGAAAAGGAGACACAAGGAAGACAACTTAGGACCCCCACGTCCCCCCCCCCAAGGAAAGCGGGCGTCCCACATTGCTCAAAGGTGAGACATCTGGAGCTTGTCTTTGGGGAGCCAGGGTTAAAGTCCCTCTGTACCCCAGTGAGGTTCAGCCCCATTCCTGCCTCTCTCCCCAGCTCCTCACCCCCACTTGTCTCCATTTTTTTCCTTCCCCTGGGCCATCAGTTCTGTCCCTCTCAGGCTCTGCCCTGTGCCCCGTCAGGTGTGAGGAGCAGAACAGCGAGCTGAAAGGTCAGAGTGGGCCGAGCTCGCGGCCCAGGCAGGTACAGCTGCAGTTGCGGTGGGACGGTCCACACTTCTCGCAGGCCCTATGTCTCAGAGAGGCATGCCGTCTTGGAGGGGTACCCTGTAGGCCTGTTACCTGCTAGACTCAAAGTCAGGTTTTAAAAACAAACAGTAATAACAACTTCCGGGGCAGGGGGGTTTTAGGAGATTTAGGATTTGGGGAGAAATTGTCAAGCGATCCCTTCTCCTTAACTCTCACCTCTCAGCGAGGAACCCCACTCCTCTCGGGTGTTTAGCGTTCGCCCGCTGCCCAGGCCCTTCGGAACCTGGAAGCCTCTCTTTGCATCCCTGCTGATACGCCCTCTCCTGCTCCCAACTTTGTCCTCCTCGGAGGCTCGGCGGCTACACCTAAGTCAGGGCAGAAGGAGCGGACAGCCGGGCTCTCCCGAAGAAACGAGCTCGAGTGCGAGTCTCTTGAAAAGCCCCTCCCCACGCAAAAGCCCCTGCACCCCAGCGGCCGCGGGTGTCGCGCGGGGTACTTGGCACATCTCCCGGGGCATTCCCTGAAGGGCACGGAGTACCTGCTGCATCCGGCGCCCAGAGAACTGGGTCCCGGTGTCTTTATTCCAGGCTGGGGGACGGGAGCCTCTTCTTCCAGAGACCTGCAAGAAGAGGACAAGTCCCTTCTCTCTTCCTCCTCTTCTCCGGGCGCTTTTCCTGCTCAGGCAGGGGTTGCGCTGGTGATGCCGCGGTAGATCTCAGGAAGGGCGATGCTTGGCGAGGCCACCCTCGGCCCGCGCCCACTCCCTTCGCGCCACTTGCTGTCTCTGCCCCCGGTGGCCACGGGTCGCCCAGGGCACAGGCAGCTGGCTCGCGAAGGCTTGCTCTCGGTCCGGGCTCGAAGATGGGGCACGTTGGGGTCGCCCCGGCACCCGTGCGGCTGGGGACCCCAAAGTCGCCCCCGGGCCGGATTGTCCGGGACGCAGAGGCCCCAGCTCCAGGTTAGGACACGCCGGCGGGAGCCGTGCCGGGCGGGCGGCGCGCGTTCCCTGGACTCACGCTCCGGAACCGCCGCCTCGGGCGGGAACCAGGGCGCCGGCTCTCGGAGCAGGGCTCGGTGCCCACTCCGTGCTAGAGGTGCGCACCCGACAGTGCTGTGCCCGCCGCAGGGCTCACCTGGTTACCCTCAGAGCCACCGCCAGAGTGGGCGGTACGGCCCACTTCGCTGGTGAGATTTCAAAGAACCGGGAGAGCCCCCGCCCCTGCCCACATCTCCGCCGTCACAGGACGCGCTGGGACCCACCCAACCCTCGTTCCGTCCTGGGAGCCCAAGTGGACATCAGGGTCAGCTTCATTCCAACCGCAGCACCTCTCTCTCTCTCTGCGTAAAAGAGGCTTAAGAGAACTGCTTTCCCCAAAGGGATGAAGTGCCGGAGGTGGGCAGTGTGGATGTTGGGAAGAGGGAGACGTCCCCCACCCACCGGGGGTTATCTGTTTAGAAGAAGGCTACGGAGGCAGGAACTACATGACAGCACAAATTTCCTTCAAAAGTCAGCAGATTTCTCAAGAAGCTAAACATACAATTACCCTATGATCCAGCAATTCCCCTACCAAAAAAAAATGGCTGCAGGGACTAAAATATTAATACTTGTACACCAATGTTCATAGCAGCATTATTCAAAATAGCTAAAAGGTGGAAGCAATCCAAATGTCTATCATAAATGAATGAACAAAATGTGGTGTATACATACAATGGGCTATTATTCAGCCTTAAAAAAGAAGAAAATACTGACATATGGTATAATATGGATGAACCTTGAGGACATTACGCTAAGTGAAATACGCCAGTCACAAAAAGACAACACTGGATAATTCCATTTATATGCGGTACCGAGAGTAGTCAAAATCAGACAAAAGTAGAATGTCAGTTGCCAGGGGTTGAGGGGGATAAGGGAAGTGGGGGTGGGGTACCAAGTTTCAGTTTTGCAAGATGAAAAGATTTCCAGAGATGGATGGTGGTGATGGTTGCATAACAATAGGAATGTGATTAATTCACTGAACTGTACATTTAAAAATGATTAAGATTGCAAATATTATGTGTATTGAAATTGTGGTAAAATGCTAATACATGCTATAATATGGGTGAATCTTGAGAACATCATGTTAAGTGAAATAGGCCAGACACAAAAGTAATAAAAATATTATGATTCCTAATATATGAGGTACCTAAAATAGGCAAATTCATAGAGTCAGAAAGTAGGATGCTATGTACCAGAAGAGGAGGAATGGGAAGCTATTGTGTAATGGATACAGAGTTTCTGTTCGGGATGATGAAACAATTCTGGGAATGGATAGTGATGATGGTTGCACAGCAATATGAATGCACTCATGTCATTGAATTATACACTTAAAATGGTTAACATGAGCTTTAATAGCTCAGATCTTCTTAGCAAGGCATTCAAGGCCAATCCTAGTTTGGCCTCTAATTGTGCATCACGGAAAGGGGGCTGCCTGGGATCTGGGCCTTTAGTCTGCTTTGTCACTATCAACTGTGTGTCTTTAGGCAAGTCACATAAACTTCCTAGGGCTCCCTTTCTTTATTTACAAAATGAATGAGTTAAACTTGCAATAGGAAGTCACTGCCAGGTTCTAGCACTCCATATAGTGTCTTCCCCTGGCCCATAGCCTGACCTGGACACCTTGTCCTGTTATTTGCACAAAACTTTTGTCATTTGCAAAAATGTCACAGCTCTTTCAGTTCTCTGAGTCTCACATCCCCTGTAATGTGGGACACCACAGTGGTTCAGAGCATGACATATATGGAGTCAGCTGCCTCCTTTCTACCTAGCTCTGCACAGAGGAGCTGTGTGACCTTGGGCAGTGTGGTGACCAAAGCCTAGCCTTCTCATTTGCAAATTACAAATGACAATAGCTCTTCCTGTATAAGGTTGCTGTGAGGATTAAATAAGGTAAGGTAGGTAAAGTGCTTGGCAGGATGCCTGGTGCTTAGCAGGGACCTACTAAATACCAGCTGTTACAGTCACTCTGTGATTCTTTCTATATCTTGCTCCATGAGATCTTAACCAACCGTTGAGACCTTGGTCATGTTTCATTTCTTCCAGGAAGTATTCCTCAATTCCCGCAATGCTGTTCACATCTTTCCTTACCACCTGGTGCCTCTTTTTAAATGTACCTTGTATAACAGTTTGCTTTCCATCTTGCACTGTTGCCCGAGGATGGGCTGTGTCTTTCACTTTTGAATTCTCTTCTGCAGTATTTCTCAAACTTGCCTGATGATAAGAATTATCTGGGGTGCTAGTTAAATGTACTAATTCCTTGGTCCCACCTCAAACCCAGGGAAGGGACCTAGAAATCTGTGTGTTTAACTAGCATCCCAGGCGATGCTTATTATCAAATAAATTTGGAGATTTAGGTACCTAGAACAGAGCCTAGCACAAGATAGATAAATTTGATTTGTCATTCCACATAACATATGTGGTCATTCCACATAGCATGTCTTCCTGACTCTATTTATCTCTGCTCAAAAATAAAAAACAAAGCATAGAGTGCATTAGTTATCTATTGCTGTATAACAAATTACCCCCAAAATTCAGTGTCTTACAACAAACATGTATTATCTCACAGAGTTTCTGAGCACCAGGAATCTAGGAGTGGCTTAGCTAGGTGGTCCCAGGCTCAGAGTCTGTTGTGAGACTGGAGTCAAGCTGTCAGCCAGAGCTGCAGTCGCATCTGAAGGCTTAACTGGAAGGCTCAAGCTCAAGCTCATTCACAAGGTTGTTGTCAGGTCTGTTTTTCACTGGCTGTTGCTGGAGACTTTAGTCATGTGGGCCTAGCTACAGGCTGCCTGAATGACCTCACCATATGGTAGCTAACTTCCCCCATTGCTTCTGTTATAAGCTGTTCATCA